TCACAGATGATCGAGTTCCTTTTCTATTAAGGCAAGACACTAGAGGTAGAAACACGTCTTACCTTAAAGTGTAGTAATGAAAATATCAAAACACAACAGAAAAATAAACTCAACTGTCTACCCATGACCACTGCATTAAACTCTGCCCACTTGGCACAATCACATCATGTCACTTTTCTTTATAAACCTCATAAATCACACTCACTAGGGCGGAAATCCACAGAATCACATTCTATTTTTAATACCATTTCCTCATAATCAGTTTTTTTTTCTATATTCAGAACCAAAAATCTGTCTCTAGATATTTTCATTCCTGTCCGTATTTAGATGGATATTACAGAAGAATTTCCCAAAATGTTGATTATATGTGGATAATAACAGTGCGTGGTGTTTTCTTGATTTAACAGTTTTTTTAAAAAAAATGATATTCCATCAAACTTTCCTCACTGGAGCGCGTCTTCACAGTGAAATTCTAACAACATCAGAAGATTCAGTTTCTGGATTTGTTGTCTACTGATTTACTCTTTTAACTAGACGAAGACATATTTGCACAGATAAATGTATAATGTTGACAAAGTGACGTGACGTGACTTGTGGCCAAGTACGGTGACCCATACTCGGAATTTGTGCTCTGCATTTAACCCCTCCAAGTGCACACACACAGTAGTGAACACACACCCAGAGCAGTGGGCAGCCTCTTTTGCTGCGGCGCCCGGGGAGCAGTTGTGGGTTCGGTGCCTTGCTCAAGGGTCTCACCTGAGTCGTGGTATTGAGGGTGGAAGAGAGCACTGGTCATTCACTCCCCCACCTACAATCCCTGCCGGACCTGAGACTCGAACCCACGACCTTCAGGTTCACCTTCGGGTTACAAGTCCGACTCTCGAACCATTAGGCCACGACTGCCCCCAGTTCCTATACAAAAAAAAATAGTAGCATGAATATCAGCATTCTGACTAATATTTTAGTAAATAATATAATAATATAATTAACTTATTTACGTTTTTGAAAATTGCCCTGTTCACCTGTAGCGTTAAAGCGCCTCTGGTTTGTGTGTGGCTCTTCAGGGAAGCGCTGACGAGGAAGACCTGGATGAAGACGACTCGCTGAGCGACGACAGCGGCTCCGAGCAGGACGAGTTGATGGAAGATTCTGAATACTCGGAAAAGAAATCACAGCCCCCGACACCCTCACCCTCTCCTCCTGAAACCCCCCGGCCCACCCGCCGACGCCGCAAAGCTCGCTCTCCTTCATACTCAGACGACGAGAACAGACCTCCGTCACCCAAAGTAATCACACCATACAAAATTATACGTAGACTGTAGGTTAGATCTTGTTATACTTTTTACAAGTAGCACACATAGCACACATCTGGCATATATTTCTGACTTCAAGACATTTAACAGAGATCATAATAAGACGTTTCTAACAAATATTTCATTATCCTTCATTGCAGTAACGTCAATTTACTGAAAGCATTTACGGCAATAGTTGTCAGCCCAGTCTAAGGTTTGTTTCTGTATCACTCAGAGTCCCTTTCCTGAGGCTCCTCAGAAGCTGTGCTTGGACAGCAGTCCCCTGGAGTGGAGCGTTACAGATGTGGTGCGTTTCATCAGGACCACCGACTGTGCTCCACTCGCACGCATCTTCATGGATCAGGTGATCATCTTATTTTCTTCACTGCCGACTTCTTACCTTGTTTGTATCACAAAGTATCTAATTTAGGCTTATGATACTGTATATTACGTGAGTAAATAAAACTACTCACTCCACGCTGCAGAAATTAATCTGATTTATTTTTTTTTTTTAAAAACTTATTTTTATTCGAATGATCTGCATTGCAAATTACATATTAGCAGATCCGATTTGTTTGTAGTCACATCCAGTCTCAAATCCGCTGTGGTTATTATAGTAAAGATGCAGGTGTGTGTAAGCCGAGTAATCTAGGGTTTGGCAAAAAATAGTAGGTTAGCTTACTAAAGATGAGAGCATTAATATAATACAAATCATTTATTGTGACAATTGTGTGTGTACACGGATCCTACCAATTCTCCGAAAAAATAAAGACAATGAAGAAGTATATTTTTAAATTGTTGTTCAAATTGTTGAGAGTCAAAACTAGGACACATCAAAGCATGTTAACTAAACTAAACCTTATTGACAGACCTGAATCTAATCGTAGCGTGCTGAATCGAATAACTACTGGTGCTGAACCGAATCCTATCGGTGCTGAACCCGAATCCTATCAGTGCTGAACCGAATCCTATCAGTGCTGAACCCGAATCCTATCAGTGCTGAACCGAATCCTATCAGTGCTGAACCTGAATCCTATCAGTGCTGAACCTGAATCCTATCAGTGCTGAACCGAATCCTATCAGTGCTGAACCGAATCCTATCAGTGCTGAACCCGAATCCTATCAGTGCTGAACCGAATCCTATCAGTGCTGAACCCGAATCCTATCAGTGCTGAACCCGAATCCTATCAGTGCTGAACCCGAATCCTATCAGTGCCGAACCCGAATCCTATCAGTGCCGAACCCGAATCATATCAGTGCCGAACCCGAATCCTATCAGTGCTGAACCTGAATCCTATCAGTGCTGAACCCGAATCATATCAGTGCTGAACCCGAATCATATCAGTGCCGAACCCGAATCATATCAGTGCCGAACCCGAATCATATCAGTGCTGAACCCGAATCCTATCAGTGCTGAACCGAATCCTATCAGTGCTGAACCCGAATCCTATCAGTGCTGAACCCGAATCCTATCAGTGCTGAACCCGAATCATATCAGTGCCGAACCCGAATCATATCAGTGCCGAACCCGAATCCTATCAGTGCTGAACCGAATCCTATCAGTGCTGAACCCGAATCCTATCAGTGCTGAACCGAATCCTGTCCTATCGAATCTGAAAATGAATAGTGGTGCTGAACTGAGTCATATCAGATAATTAGTGAATTAAAATGTATCCAATCGTTATTTACTTAACTAGAATTTTTGCATCATATACAACGTATCAAGATGCGTATTGTATCACCTGATAGAGGGAGCTTCACATCTGTAAAATTAGATCAGTTTAAGTGAAAAGTCACTTTTCTTACAATTTTCTTAGCATCTCTTTGTTATGTGTTATATTGATGTACACTACTGACCCTAGAGGGTATTTGGTATTTTTGAAATCTTTTAACCCCGCAGCAGTAATCACTCACTCTGTGCATAGCCATTTTCTCATTGTTTGTTTGTTTGTTTGTTTGTTTGTTTCAGGAGATTGACGGCCAGGCCCTGTTGCTGCTAAACCTGCCCACTGTGCAGGAGTGTATGGACCTGAAACTCGGTCCTGCCATTAAGCTGTGCCACCACATCGAGAGGGTCAAACTGGCATTTTACCAGCAGTTTGCCAGCTGAGAGTAGCAGGATCAGACAGCGCGGGGAGGATTTATTTTATTTCTCATTGTGTGCGTCTGCGTGCGTGTTCTTTTTTTCTTAGAGTTTTGTTCTAGATAGAAATAAGCTACTGAAGGGGAAGCTGGTGTGGGAGAAATCAGTGGTGTTTGTCACAAAGCTCTGCTCAGACTGAACCTGCGTTACAGGTGATTTTACCAGATTTATTAGAGTGAATAATCGGTCATTAGGTAGTGTTTTCCTTAAGGCTCAAGCGAGCTGTTTGTTTCTGAAACCTTTAATAATCTTTGAGCGGATGACAATGCAAGAATCTTAAGCACAAAGACCAATTGCCCGTGTATAGTAAGTGGTATGCAAACGTGTACATAGTAGTTTGTCTGTATATAAGTGTAAATATCAGATATTCCCTGATTAAATGGGATTAATGGGATTAAATGTCCCGGTTCCTTTTTTTTTTTAAATAACAAAGTTTGGGGATTACACTGTAAGTAAACATGAACATTCATTTCAGGCCTGGTATTTGGTTTTTGTGGTGGGATTTTGTATAGATGCTAAAAGCACTGTCCCAACCCCAACCCTATCCCCCCCCAAAAAAAAAAAAGTTTGACACTTACATTCAAGCAGAGAAGTGTCGCTGCATTAGAAAATGACATTTAATTTAATATAACAATGTTAATGTGATTAATGTCGTGGTTAGTGTTCAAGCACACAAAGGATTCAGGTTATTGTATAAAAATTTGGGATGGTCTATCCGATTCTAAAATAATAAAGTATGCAAGTCGAGAACTGGTTTAAACTCGTAAAGTCTGGGCTTCAAGCATTGCGTTTGGATTTAGAGCGCTCTCAGGAGGAGTTCCACAAACCTCATTTCGATTTCGTTTTCCCGTTTATCTCGTTGCGTCTCCAAGAATTTGTGCTAAAAATGGTGAATTTTGCAAGCCTATTATGTGTGTGTCTTCTTGCCATGTTTGATTTTGTTCCCATTTTTCCCAGTTTGGAAAAAAAACATTTGAATTAATGTTAATTTTACATTTAAATTGTATATGTTTGTGAAATGTTATTTAAAAGAAAATAAACTAAACTGGAGCTAATGTTTTGTCTCTCTCAGAAAGGGTGCTGTAAATAAATTCCATAATTACTCAAATTGCCTTGTGTACTTCATTGAATACTCAGTTATGTGATGGAACGTTTAATGGAAATACACAAGTTTCTTTTTTTTACTGTTTCTCTTTAGCCTTTAATCATTCAGAGTTCTTGTACAGATCTAGAACGTTTCAGAACTGATAGCTGATATAACTCACCATCACAGTGTTGTCTGAGCAGACCAGAACATAGCCACGTCTCAGAACCAGTGAGAACTTCATGACTTCGGGGCCAGATGGACGGTCCTCCACTCAGCCGGTTGACGTACCTTACTCTGGACGGTTCTCCACTACCCCGAGCCAATATTGCATCATCTTTCACCGTTACCTTGTTGACATGTCTCAATATACGTGTGTACTCACACAAGAGGTTGTTTAGGTGTCCTACACCATGTCTGGTGATTATGGGGGTGAAACAACCATGGATTTACTACAGTTTACTCTGGTTAACCATGTACGTCCCTGGAGGACCAGTGGTTGGGTCACGGCACTCTCACCGCTGCGGCCCGTGTTCGATTCCTGGCCAGGGAACCAACTCGCAACAGTGCGCTCCCAGTGCCGGTCCCAAGCCCAGATAAAACAGGTGGGGGGGGGTTGCGTCAGGAAGGACATCCGGCGTAAAAACTGTGCCAAATCAAGTACGCGGACCAATGATCTGCTGTGGCGACCCCTAATGGGAGCAGCCGTAAGAGGAACAACTCTCTTTAACCATGCCCCTGCTATAGCAACCGTGGTGACGGTTTTACTCCGGCACACTATAGAATGGTTTAACTGTGGTACTTTATGGTAACCGCACTTCTACCACAGCGCTGTTGAATCCTTGAATCTGATTGGTCAGAAGGTGTTGAACAGCAGCTCTGACTGTAGTTACGGCTATAAACCAAACTACAGGTTTATATTAATGTGCTTGTTTTAATACATTCTATAGTAACAGCTCACACACAGGGACTTGAACGGTGGATGCTCGACATAATGGCGTAAGATAACATAGAAAGACTTACAATCATTGATATGTTGAAGTTTGCAGTAAGAACGTGTTTATTTGGCATTTACGTAAGGAGTCTCCAGTGTCAGAAAAATCTGCAGGATGGCAGTCTGTGTTTTCCGATTTCTCAATAAAATAAAAAGCACCAATTTTTTTTTTTGTCTTATTAACTCCAAGAGAGGAAGAAAGTGAGGCTGGTGAGGGAAGTAAGGGAACATCTGTTTATAGCTGCTATAACGTCAGTGATAACATGAACTTACTTGTCTCGTGGACGTCCCGCAACCTTAAATGTAATAATAAAAGGACAAAAAGTGTGACTCTGTAAGACAATTTAGTTCCAGTTACATTATAGCAGCTATAAACAGTCATTCCTTCACCTGTCACTTTTCTTTTTCTAAAGAACATCCAACAACATTAAATATCAAACAATGAACAAATTTAGAAAAATGGAAAATAATCAGCTTATTAAGTGGTAACGCTGACTCGGCATCACACCACAGTATCATTGATTATTTATTTATTACATCACACCCTGTTATGTTTTTTTTTCCTCTTCCTGAAACTGTGAATCCTGATTCTAGTACTGTTTTATTGTAGATGGTTGTAGTTTTAAGGCTGCACCCAAGCGTACTACAATTCCCAGAATTCTCATGTTGCGCGCGTCTTAAAGACGTCACTACGTAGGAAAGGGGAAGTTGAGTGGGATGTCAGGGTGGACGCAGTCTGAGGTGCTAAACGTGTTTATGTGTAGTTGAATGGGGTTTGGATGAAAATAAATCCCTCTGAATGTGATGTGGAGAAGAACTGACGATTCTTCTGTGGAAATGTGGATAAAACCAAACGACCAGACGACTCGGAGACTGAAGCGACACAGGAGCTTCATCACCCGGGCTGGATTTTAAAGGCGCTTTCGCTGCTTCTGTACGCAAGAAAACGACATTTTATACAAACTAAACTTGCTAGAAATATAAAAAAGAGAAAAGGCTGATATTTAGTGACATAGCCTGCTGTTTTGGTGTTCAGTGTGGGTTAGTAACTACACAATTAGCACACCTAGCTAGCATAAACAAGACTTTAAACAAGTCAAATACACGCTTTTAAGTTAAAACAAACAAATAAACAAACAGACTAGTTTTGGTGAGGAAATTATGATTAGTAGCACATTAGCATCCTTGCTAAGTGCTACCCGGTTGCTTCATTAGGATGCTGACCCACAGCGTCCTTAGTGATGTTAGGTAGACTGGTTTAAACCAAAATAAATAAATATGGGTTATATAATAATATATCCGCTTTACTGAGCTTCCTAGGAGAAAATGAAGGATGGAAAAAAACATTAACTAACATTTTACACACACACTTTCCCCTGAGAGGCCGCTCTCTTTCCGGAAGCTCTGTCATTTCTTTGAGGAGTTGAAAATATCCCGCTGAAGCTCGTAAACATGGCGAACACCGGAGTCAGCGCGATGCTGCTGTCCCGACCCGAGGAAGCAAACGCAGCCGGACACCTGGTGTCCAGAGCCGGGGAAGGAGCCGCGTCAGGGCCGCTGTTGCCCTCCAACTCCTCTCCCACGGACACGGAGATGAAGGGATGCGCTAACGGAGACCTGATGGACAGCTTCGGGATCTTCCTGCAGGGCCTGCTCGGGGTGGTAGCCTTCAGCACCCTCATGTGTAAGTTCCACACACTTTAAAGGAAAACTCCAGCCTGAAACTGAAATAGGGTCAAATGGAAATATTAGTGATGTGTTCACAGATTCAAGTGTTACTTTGTCAGCTGAGGTTTGTATTTCCATTATTCCTGTATTGAAGTTAGCACTTGTGTGCCGCGATGATGTCACAGGGCGACGTTGGTTAGTGCAGACATGCTGCCTTCAAGTCCTCCTCGGAAGTTCGTGCATACGAGTTCAATAGGGTGTGTTCAAGTGGGTTTGGACAGGCGGGAAAAAAATGAGCAAGTGAGCAAACTAATTATTTTTGTTTTATCTTTTGTTTCATCAGCAACAAGAAGTTCCCTTCCCTTCCCTTTTGTGTCTGGTTCCTCTCGAGGTTTCTTCCTCATGTCGTCTCAGGGAGTTTTTCCTTGCCACCGTCACATCTGGCTTGCTCATTAGGGATAAATCTATATCTATACCTGGATAGCTGTTTGTGACAGTGTTCATTTTTAAAAGTGCGATCTGAATATAATTGAATCGAATTGAAATTTGTCTTACTGAAAGAACATGAAGAACTTAACATGTGAAATTTTTCCATCTGCTATAGACATCACATTCATATTGGCCACCATGACTATTTATCTGTTGCTTGACACATGGTTTACAATGCAGTATTATTAGCAATTGTACAATTAATACAGCATTACAACAATTGTACAGCATTACAATAGGTGAATTTTTTTATTTTTTTTTTGCAAGCGGTTTTGCTGTTAGCTCCTTAAAACAAAAAGAGCAAGTGCTTCTTTTCTCAGTCAGTATTTTCTGGTGAGAAATCCAACATTGAAATAGTAGAGACATTGGTCCAAAAGTTGGAAACAGACAGACAGACAGAGAGAGAGAGAGAGAGCGAAAGCTTTAAAACTCATTCCGTGTGGATTCTTCTTTCAGACAGCTGATTCACTGTTTCCAGTTAATTACCATGTTTGTTAGATGTGTTAACCAGAAAAACCATGTCAAACTGTGCTGGAAACTACACCTCCAGGCCTGGATCGGAAACCATGAAACCAGGAGTGTGGTTTATTTGATTGACAAGATGTCGAAACTCCTCATTTAGCTCATCTATCTGGGGGAAAAAAAACCCACTCATCTATTTGCTGCACTTATAAATACATACTCCTCGTGTATACATACATACTCCTCAAGTACTCAGATGCTAGTGACATTAATCACGAGCTCTACGGCTAAGCTGATGGGTTTACTATTTGTAAAAGCGTGTGAGTGTGTGTGTAACTTACACCTGGTTCATATCTTAATCAAACAGGACGTACTAAATTGGCACCTTTCTACATCATGGAAACTCAAATACCTTTGGTGCAGATTTTTCTTCTCTTGAATATATAAGGTGCATATAAAGGAAAAGTTGGTGTAGTGGATTTAACTTTGTAGCTCATTTGTATGAATATTTTATTTAAATATTCCCAGCCAGGCTATATTTAGATTCTAAACACATTTCAGTGAGGTTATCAAGATGTGTCGAATCTTTGTTAATTTACAGAGATGTGTTAGAAACTGAACCAAAATCAGACGTGGTCTGACCGGGGTCGTCAAGCATGTACTGATTATCTGAGTAAACACTCCAGTCCAAAAGTCCAAAATGCAGTAAAATGACAATACTCATCGGCCATTGGAAGGAGTCTCCGGGGTTGGTGCTTGGTCACTTTGTCGTGATAAAGCTGTAACTTGTAATAGCTGTTATAATGTAAGTGATAACATGAAACAACTTGTTTTATGGATGCTCCACTACATTGAACCTCACTGTAAATTGATAAAAAGTACAACTTTTCATTCTTTAATAAATAAACATTTGCAATCGTTGGCAAATCGCTGTGGTATAAAAGGAATAAAATACATGTTCTGCTTCTCGTAAGGCCGTATCACACCACCCCGTCTTTGATTATTTTCTTATAACAGTACACCTGCAAGTGTTTCATTCCTTACATAGTTACTCATCACGTAACTGGATCAGACGTTTAACTTTTGGTCAATGACTAACATCTATGGTTTAGCCGTCGCACTTAGAAATTTTGACACGATATGGGACGCCGGAAAATGCTTTTCTGTTTTCTTAGCTAAAGCAATAGTCAAACACAAAGAAAATTCTCCTCACTGAGGCAACAGTCAGACCAAACACAATAAAATTCTCCTCACAGAGGCAACAGTCAGACCAAACACAATAAAATTCTCCTCACAGAGGCAACAGTCAGACCAAACACAATAAAATTCTCCTCACTGAGGCAACAGTCAGACCAAACACAATAAAATTCTCCTCACAGAGGCAACAGTCAGACCAAACACAATAAAATTCTCCTCACTGAGGCAACAGTCAGACCAAACACAATAAAATTCTCCTCACAGAGGCAACAGTCAGACCAAACACAATAAAATTCTCCTCACAGAGGCAACACCTTTCTTCTGGTGGTAAAGGTAATTCACTGAACGGGAAAGGACGTTTACTTTATCTACGTGAGTTTGACTTGCGAATTCGTAAACCCTGCTTTTGTGAGCCAGCCGTAAAAAACGCAGTAGAATGACCGCATGAAGCCATCTCATCCACCGTCATACACAAGGGGTTTTTGTGTTTTCATTTTTCTTTTTTTTTTCTTTTTTTTTCCTGCTAGGATTTTTTTCGTGAGCAGTGTTTCCACCTCCCTGCCTATCCATCCCGATCTCCATATTATTTAGGTTGTGATTTGTAAAAGGACGCAGGGGAAAGTGTTGCATACACTGCTGCTGTGCTACGAACACAACAGCCATTGTCAGAAACAGCGACAGCTTTATTTCTGATAGTTGCTGTCACTCGCCGTCTGAATAGCAGTTCTGTCGGATTAGTTCCA